TGATAAGTTGGTATTCACTATAATTAATGTGCTTATCAGGTTTTGGGAAATTTGATAGACACACGCCTGGCAAGGATGACAACTCTGCAGGGATCTTTACAAATAAATCACAAGTGGCAGCTCTTGTATTTCTGTCCTGACAGGGTCTCTTTAAATTTCAATGGAGGAAAAAATATACATCAGCTGCAGACACATAAATATCCATTATTAACAGAGTAGTAATTCTGCTATTTATGAATCACTTTGTGAGTATGTAATGTTCAGAGACTTGTTTGCAAATGATCCCTCACTTTAAAAAAGCTTAAGGTATTTGGCATTATATCTACATTCTATGCATTTTTACAGTTGTCTAGCAGCTGATGTTCCTGGCGGGTATGTTTGGGACTGTGTAAAGAGAGGCATTCTCCCTTTCCTGCGCTCTTCTGCTGTCTTCTTCTACTACCTGCTGGGAGTGACTCCACCTGAGGAGCTACAGACATTGGGTAAGCCATCAGCTAAGGTTCTCACTAATAGGGTGGAAAGTATATGTTCTATTATGTAAAAACACTTCACAGAGATTTGTAATGATCCCATTATACAGCCAACTATGCAGATTCAACATCTCTTGCAGATTATCCCCCTGATTCTATTCCTTAGTGTATAGGTCACCTGAATACCCACAGACACAGGCATTTTCTTCACAATAATGAGTAGGTTTTAATTTAATCATGGTCCAGTTATATTTTAGTGAAGTAATTTAATGAATTTGATTAAACTTTGATTCAGTTGGATGACTTTCAAAAGGTTTATGTTATACCTATGATTTACAAAATTTACAGAGTTCAGATATTTACCTTCAATGAGGCATTTAAATGTAGTTAACATGCATTTTAGGTAGGGGAAAGTATACATATTTCTTTTTTGTCCATTGCTGGCGACAAGGAAGTCTTTAACCTTCAGGTTATACTGCCACTTACTGGAGAATTGGACACTGGCAAACCAAAAAAACTGTAGGCCAGCCCAAGATAATCCCTTCTATTAGTGAAAAAATAGGGGAACAAAAAGGAGTACGCTACCAATCTCCAGGGTTTCAATAAACTGTTCAAAAGCTGATTGTCCCCTAGACAAAGAAATCCCTTAAATGGAGCTGGTCTAGTAAACAGGTTAACATATGTATTGTAAATTTCAATATTTAATGATAGAAAAATGACATGTATAAACACCCATAACAAGACATTTAAAAACAATTAAAATGACTTCCCTTGGATTACCCACATGTAGTAGTGCGGGTGATGATCTGCGAGCCACCTAAGTGGCAAAAAGTCACTGATGCAGATACAGTAACTGTATATCAGAGATGGATACAAAGTACCAGAGCTTACTCACATTATATGTGGCTCAGAGAGAGGGACAGTCCTGGTTGGATCCCGCAATATTGCATAAGTGAAGTTTTTCAATGGAGCATATCCGTGTGTAGCAATTGGGTTCCAGAGAGTATGTCTCCCTAATAGGGCCAGAGGCTTTATGGGCGCCTCTCCCTCCAACTTCTTGGAACTCTCACTGACCCGCGGGATTCAATTTCCAATCTAGAGAAACATCCAGGGATTGTTTCAAACATGTGCGGCCGCACAGTAGGAAGAAATGTGATGGAATCTCCGCGGAGATTCCATCACATTTCTTCCTACTGTGCGGCCGCACATGTTTGAAACAATCCCTGGATGTTTCTCTAGATTGGAGAGGCGCCCATAAAGCCTCTGGCCCTCTGGCACTTATGCAATATTGCGGGATCCAACCAGGACTGTCCCTCTTTCTGAGCCACATATAATGTGAGTAAGCTCTGGTACTTTGTATCCATCTCTGATATACAGTTACTGTATCTGCATCAGTGACTTTTTGCCACTTAGGTGGCTCGCAGATCATCACCCGCACTACTACATGTGGGTAATCCAAGGGAAGTCATTTTAATTGTTTTTAAATGTCTTGTTATGGGTGTTTATACATGTCATTTTTCTATCATTAAATATTGAAATTTACAATACATATGTTAACCTGTTTACTAGACCAGCTCCATTTAAGGGATTTCTTTGTCTAGGGGACAATCAGCTTTTGAACAGTTTATTGAAACCCTGGAGATTGGTAGCGTACTCCTTTTTGTTCCCCTATTTTTTCACTAATAGAAGGGATTATCTTGGGCTGGCCTACAGTTTTTTTGGTTTGCCAGTGTCCAATTCTCCAGTAAGTGGCAGTATAACCTGAAGGTTAAAGACTTCCTTGTCGCCAGCAATGGACAAAAAAGAAATATGTATACTTTCCCCTACCTAAAATGCATGTTAACTACATTTAAATGCCTCATTGAAGGTAAATATCTGAACTCTGTAAATTTTGTAAATCATAGGTATAACATAAACCTTTTGAAAGTCATCCAACTGAATCAAAGTTTAATCAAATTCATTAAATTACTTCACTAAAATATAACTGGACCATGATTAAATTAAAACCTACTCATTATTGTGAAGAAAATGCCTGTGTCTGTGGGTATTCAGGTGACCTATACACTAAGGAATAGAATCAGGGGGATAATCTGCAAGAGATGTTGAATCTGCATAGTTGGCTGTATAATGGGATCATTACAAATCTCTGTGAAGTGTTTTTACATAATAGAACATATACTTTCCACCCTATTAGTGAGAACCTTAGCTGATGGCTTACCCAATGTCTGTAGCTCCTCAGGTGGAGTCACTCCCAGCAGGTAGTAGAAGAAGACAGCAGAAGAGCGCAGGAAAGGGAGAATGCCTCTCTTTACACAGTCCCAAACATACCCGCCAGGAACATCAGCTGCTAGACAACTGTAAAAATGCATAGAATGTAGATATAATGCCAAATACCTTAAGCTTTTTTAAAGTGAGGGATCATTTGCAAACAAGTCTCTGAACATTACATACTCACAAAGTGATTCATAAATAGCAGAATTACTACTCTGTTAATAATGGATATTTATGTGTCTGCAGCTGATGTATATTTTTTCCTCCATTGAAATTTAAAGAGACCCTGTCAGGACAGAAATACAAGAGCTGCCACTTGTGATTTATTTGTAAAGATCCCTGCAGAGTTGTCATCCTTGCCAGGCGTGTGTCTATCAAATTTCCCAAAACCTGATAAGCACATTAATTATAGTGAATACCAACTTATCAGGTAGTAAAGCATAAATATATACTGTGTGTGTGTATATATATATATATATGTTTAACTATTTAATGACCATCCACCCTAGTCTATGACAAAGACTATCGCCTTGTCTTTTTGTTTTCTGCTGGATCAGGTGATGATCTCATATCTATGAGCCCTGCACATGACTGCACTAAGGAATTATGGAGTGGGTAAGTTAGAAAACCTGACTAATTGTTTTTGTGACCCTCCTGATAAGTGGCACCAGCTGTGCCCGCAAGCACCCCTCTTCTTCTCCCCTTCCTCTTGCAACTGACATAAACAGCAACATTTTGCATAGTGCAATGTCACATGAGGAAGAAGGGGGTATGTACAAATTCTGAGACTATCAGTTTTTCTTCTAGAGTTATACTTGCTCCAGCACAGTTTGCTATTGGCTAAATTATCCTATACTTTTCTTCCTAGTAAAAGGTAAGATTTCATAGAGCAGAAGTGAAACTGCTCTGTTTCAAGCTGTCCTGTACAGTGAGTACAGCTACGACACCAACCATTTAAAGGGTTTGAAAGCTGATATAAGCACATTGGCAACTGTTAGGCCTCATTCACACTGCCACGCGTATGCGCGCGTATACGTGCGTACGTGCGCATTGTACCATATGCAAGCTATGCAAATAAATGGCTCCATACACACAGCCGCGTATAGAGCCGTATATTTGCGTAGCGTATATATGCGCAAAAACAGAATGGAACAGAGATGCGTGCGGGCAGCGTATTTACGCGCCTATACGCGCGTACATGCGTACAGCACATAAAAAATTCCATTAAGAGTGATGCATTCTGGGATTGCATATAGTGCACGCATATACGCTCGTATATACGCGCATATATGCAATATACAATTTTGCTTGCGTTGAGTGTGAATGAGGCCTTACAGTTCTCACCAGAGGCATGCCTTGAATTGACCTGCTTTGGGAAAGTTATATTGGTAGGTTTTGTTACACTTTAAGATTCACTCACCCACTGGTAAGCTGCGATAGGTCACGACACAAAGTGGCAGCACTAAGACCTTCTCCACCTTCACCGAAGGATCCAGTTGGTACAGTGCCTGTGGACAAGACAATATATCTGATCAGTTTACCAATTAGGCACCTCTCTGCTTTCTATTCTAAACTTTTAGAAAAATGAAGCATGCAAGAATACAAAATATTTGGGAGAGCAATATTTAAGACATGAAAACTAACTCCTATAATTCTGTCTCAGAGATGACATGCTCACAGAAAGACCCTCTCACTTGTTTAGACTGGGATATCTTTTCTTGTTCAATATTTTTATAAAGTAATAGTTTTTCAAATGTAACATTCAGGAAAATTAGGATATAGAAGAAAAGAATGGGAGGAACATAAGGAAATATATG